CTCCATGATGACATAATGGAGCTGGTGGATACTAGACACCTTGCTCTGTACGTGTCGGCATTCATGGTTTCCTCAATGAACTGTAGCTCCCCAGTGCCGGCAGCACTCGTGCAGCCCCAGACCATGACACTTCCACCACCATGCTTGACTGTAGGCAAGACATTGTCTTTGTACTTCTCATCTGGTTGCCGCCACACACGCTTGACACCATCTGAGCCAAATAAGTTTATCTTGGTCTCATCAGACCACAGGACATGGTTCCAGCAATCCATGTCTGTAGTCTGCTTGTCTTTAGCAAACTATTTGCGAGCTTTCTTGTGCATCATCTTTAGAAGAGGTTTTGTTCTGGGATGACAGCCATGCAGACCAATTTGATGCAGTGTGCGGCGTATGGTCTGAGCACTGACAGGCTTACCCCCCACCCCTTCGACCTCTGCAGCAATACTGGCAGCACTCATACGTCTGTTTCCCAAAGACAACCTCTGGATATGACGCTGAGCACATGCATTCAACTTCTTTGGTTGACCATTGCAAGGCCTGTTCTGAGCGGAACCTGTCCTGTTAGAGTGCTGTATGGTCTTGGCCACCGTGCTGCAGCTCAGTTTCAGGGTCTTGGCAATCATCCTATAGCCTAGACCATCTTTTATGTAGAGCAACAATTCTTTTTTTCAGATCCTCAGAGTTCTTTGCCATGAGGTGCCATGTTGAACTTCCAGTGACCAGTATGAGAGCGTGAGAGCGATAACACCAAATTTAACACACCTGCTTCCCATTCACACCTGAGACCTTGTAACACTAACGAGTCACATGATGTCGGGGAGGGAAAATGGCTAATTGGGCCCAATGTGGACATTTTCACTTTGGGGTGTACTCACTTTTGCTGCCAGCGGATTGATGAAAGAATAATGACATGGTCCCTTTCTTACCTGACCTAAACCCTATAGAGAACTTGTGGGTCCTTGTTAAACTAGAGATTTACATTGAAGGAAAACAGTACACCTCTCTGAGCACTGTCTGGGAGGCTGTGGTTGCTGCTGCACAAAAAGTTGTTTGTCAACAGATCAAGAAACTGACTCCATAAATGTGAGGCTTATGACTGTTATTGAAAAGAAGGGTGGCTTTATCGGTCACTGATGGGTTTTTTTTTATGTCAGAAATGTTTTTGTAATTTTTTTGAGTGTGTTTATTATTCTCACTTTAACAGATGAAAATAACAAGCAAGATGGGAAAATTTTTGTTTGTCATTTAGTTGCATAATTCTGCACACTGATAGTTGCCCAATAATTGTGCATACATAGATAATTCTCCTAAGCCAAAACCTTCCTTTTACTTTCTTAAATATTCAGGTTTGAGGTTCATTAACATTTTGGATTGACCGAGAGCACTTTTAGTTGGTCAATAATTAAATTAATCCTCAAAAATGCAACTTGCCTAATAATTGTTGTGTGTGTATGTGTGTATATATGTTTGTGTGTGTATGTGTGTGTGTGTGTGTGTGTGTATATATATATATATATATATATATATATATATATATATATATATATACATTTTTATTTTATTTTTTTCAAATATCATATTCACCATTTGCAAACATGCAGTGACCACTTTCTAGAGCCTCTTTCAACAGTAGTTGTGTTACATAACTTGGTATAGTAGCCTAAATCAGATGATTTAACATTGTTGCTGAATAATACAGAGAAGTGACACTCTTTTCCTAGCAGAGTTGGGGCTGGCAATAAGCTTGCAAGGACATGCTGGACTTTTTATTTTGCTTGGTATTCTGGATGTACCCCCTTAATAGATGTTTATTTGTTCAATTCTTTATACCTGTGATTAAAAATAAAAACTGTTATATTCTTCTAAAGTAAAACGTTACCGTATTTACTTACAGTAAGTAGCAACTGGAAATATGCTATCATTTCTTTGTATTTGCTGCTTTATATTATAGCAGTACTCGATTTGGATGAGACAAGTTGGAGCGCATGGTAATTTAAAAAGCATGTGTGTTTGATGGGAATTGAAACAAAAGTTGTATTCACAGGCAGCAGAGAGAAAATGAAAACTCTGTTTTGTAATCGGCTTATTCCAAACTGGAAGAATTCTGTCTCTTAGCAGAGGCTGGTTCCACAGAATGCGGCAAGTGCTTTAAATGGCTTCTTTAAGCTCTCCACTGCCAGAACCATTTAACTCCTTAAAGGCTTGACATATATGCCTCACTTTTGTGTTGGGTTGCGATGTTAACTTCTGGAGGCTTATAAGGCAGTGATGATGTGTTCTATGTATCAAGTGAGACTGTTGCCTAAAGCAAAGGGAAGTGTTAGAATATTTTTGTACAGAATTTCAGCTCCAGTTGAGAAAAGCTTCAAAGATATAGAAAAATGGACACATGTTCTCAGCACTACAATTAGCCTTTATTAACTAACTTAACTTAAAAGGAATAGTAGTGATCCACGTGTAAAGGATTAAATATAATACATTTTTATCAAGTTGGATAACCTTTTGTTTACAGTAGAACGATGTCTTCCCACAAAATATGTAGTGCTGCATTTGGGCTTCATGTACACTGGCAGCCCCTAAACTTGAGTTTAGGAGCTTTTGGCGTTTTTTTTGCGCAGGCTTCTAAACTCAGCTCCATAAAAGTCCATGTCCACATAGGCTTTTAGCAGTTTTTAAAAGCTGCTGCTTTTAGGTGAGGTTAAACCTCCCTCTCCTGGACTGGAAAGAATCGCATTCAGGATACGAATGTTTTGACCGCCAGCTGCATTTACACTCATTTTTGCCACGTTTTGGTTTTCCTGGTGCCGCGGTCAGGATAGGCTAGTGTATATGTAGCCTAAATGTTGATCTAAAGGTAGAAGGCTTTTTTATCCTAATGCATTCTCTGCATGACAGTAAAAAACCTTCTGCATGCAGCCCCCCCGCCCCCCATATACTCACCTGAGCTTGATAAAAATCCAGGGCTGTGCAGGAAAGTAGAGACTCTCTGCTCGCTCTCTCTCTCTCATTGGCTCAGAGCCAGCAGCGGGAGCCATTGGCTGCTGTCAATTACAGCCAGTGAGGAGAGGACAGGGCCCAGCCACGCTGTGTGTGTCAAAGGCACACAGAGCATGGCTCAGGAGCGAGCCTGCATGAGTTTCCCAAAAGTAAGCCACTTGGTTTGGGGACACTCGTCAGGGGGGGGGGAGGAGCCAGAAGCACCAGCGGGGGACCTCAGAAAAGTATGATTGGGCTGCTCTCTGCAATTCCATTGCACCGTGCAGGTAAGTATAACATGTTTGTTTTTTTATATATATATACCTGTATATGTGTATATATATGTGTGTGTGTGTATATATATATATATATATATATGTGTGTATGTATGTATGTGTGTGTGTGTGTGTGTGTGTGTGTGTATATATATATATATATATATATAATGACCCTTTGCAATCACTTTTTAAAGTGTTTTTTTTTTTTTTTTTAAGGTCCCCTATAAAATTCTAATACACTGGGTTGTCACAATCTTTATCTTCTGAAAGTTTACAGTGAACCTGCTATTATAGTTGATACAAACTTCCCAAATAGTATTTAGTAAGGAATTTTCTTTTACCCCAGTGGTGTCCACTGACTGTTTAGGACAGCATTTCTCAATCTATTTTTGGTCATAACACCTATTAAAATTACCTAAAATCTTGAGGCACCCTAGTCAAAAATGTAAAGAAAAAAATGTTACTAAAAAGGGAAACTGGAGCCTGGGACTATGCACACAATTGCCTTGATGAAATTTACTGCACATCAGAGGTCCTCCTTGGTGCCCCCCCCATGTCAAAAATCCCCTCCATTACATCAGAAGCCCCTCACCTTTTCATCAAGGTCCTCCCCATCACATCAGAGTGCCCCCTCCTTCCCTTCAGAGGTCCCCATCACAGAATCTCCTCACTATATCTGATTTGTCCGTTTACAGAATCCCCTCATTACATCAGAAGCTTCCGCCTTCCAATTAGGCTTTCCTCTATCTATTAGAGGGCCCCCATCAGAGTTTTCTTTTCCCATTCAAGCCTGTCCTTATGGCTCTAGCAGCATGAAAGAGCAGGCCTAGACAGAGGCACGTGCACCTCTGTGCTCTCCTGAGTGTTGGAACTGGTTCTGCATGCTGCCTGTCTAGTGCCATGCTGTGGCAGGCTATATCAACGAATGAGGATGTGTGTCCTGGCCCCATTTGGTTATTGTAGTGCTAGCGACTGGCCCACCTACACCATAGCACCACATGATGTGCATCTAAGGCAAACTGTATCCCATGTTCACAACACCCTGAGGAACCCAAATTACATCCCAGCTGAAAAACATTGGTATAGAATAGTGGTCAACTTTCTTGTTAAAGGGAAACTCATGTGAGGCCTCTAACATCACCAAATGGCCACACGTTATAATATTCTTTTAAAGTGTAATTCTTTTAAAAGCTGTCATTCTACAGACATACAAAAAGAGTGATCACAGACTACAGGCATGCTACAAGATTTTCAGTAACATACAGGGGTTAGACAAAAAAATGGAAACGATACGTGTTTTACAGGTGTGAAAGTGAAGACATGTTTTGCGTTGAAAACGGCATTGATGCAATATTCTTTTGCTTCCTCTATGTGATGAGATGCGTAGCTATCCGGTGGGATGCCTCACTTTTGTCATTCACAGTGTGCGTTGCTAGTAATACGGAGTCATGTCAGAGCTTACTGAGCTTCAAAGAGGGCAAATTGTTGATGCCTCTGACTAATGCAGGCCATAGACGGGGAGAAAAACGGCCGATTTTTCTTTTAAAAAACGAAAAATCGGTCGTTCAAGCGGCCGACGTTACCAGCAATGGTAAAAAAAATCGGCCGATTTTCATCCCGTCTACAGCCGGCAAAAAGTGTCCCTGCAGAGAGCTGTCAAGGAACTGTCAAAGAACTGTCAAAGAAATAGCGGAGCTCTCTGCAGGGACACTTTTTGCCGGACTGGAATTCCTCTTATTTTTCATCCCTCTTCTTCTTCCTCCTCCTCCTCCTCCTCCTCCATCCATCAATCATCTTCTTCTACTTTTACTTCTTTTACTTCTTCTTCTTTTACTTCTTTTTCTTCTTCTACTTCTTCTTCTTCTTTTACTTCTTCTTTTACTTCTTTTACTTCTTCTTCTTCTTTTACTTCTTCTTTTACTTCTTTTTGTCTTCCTCCTGCAGGTCACTGCTCATGCGCAGATTTTTTATCGGTAAAAAATCGGCCGATTTGCCCATCATTGCAGTGAAAATCGGCCGATTTTTTTTTCCAACTTTACCGATAAAAAAAATCTGCCAAAATACCGAAAAACGGCCGAACAAATAGCCTACTAACGATCCGAAAATCGGCCGATTTTATTTTCTGCCGAAAAATCGGCCGATTTTCGACCCATCTATGGCCTGCATAAAGTTGCCAATTTATTTGCGGTGTTGCAAGGTACAGTATCAGAGGTTAAGACAACATATACAGTTTCAGGGAAACATCATCTGATGAGCATAAACGCAGTCAACTGGCCAAAAGAGACAAAAGGACATTGTGCAGGATGTGATCCACAATAAGAAAACAACTGCAAAAGTGACTGTAATCTCAGTCCCTCATCAACACACATCGGTGAAGAAGAAAAATTACTTATTTGCAAAATTTTATAACAGAAACTAAGAAAACCATTTTCTTTCCAAAATTGTTGGTCTTTTTTCATTTTGTTTAGCAAAAATTAAATACAGAAAGTGATTAAAAGTGATTTAAATACAGAAAGCTCTATCTGTCTAAAAAAAAACCCCACTAAAAATGTAATTTGTGTCTCACCCAAAGTGATAATAAAGTAGTCAGTGATTACCTTTACCCCCACATTGAAAGATTACCATCCTTTGTAAAGACGCAATTCACTTGCTGACTATTTTGGATCTGGATAGTTTATTAGTATCCATTGATTATGAAAGTGTATATTCAAATATGCCACACTAAAAAAAAAAAGGTTTTAGAAACAGTTGCCTTACTTTTATGTGATCTAGGAGCAGATCAGCCAGAGTATAATAGATTCATTATACAAGTTAAGATTATTTTAATGCATAGTGCATTTACTTTGAATGCGGCTGATTAATTCTAGTTGTAGGTTGTGGCACTGGAGACCATGCATGCCCCCTCATTAATGAACCTGTGCCTGGGGGGAGGGGGGTAAGAGGGAGATGGGGGTGGAAACGGGATCTCTTTTCATAGGAGACCTTGTAAATTGTAGCTTTACATACATTTTATATTTCAATCTGTTTATTAAAGTGTTTTGAGAAATGCAAAGAAGGTGCTCTATAAATTTTGCTTCCACAAAAGGAACTAATAACATAAACAAAAGTGAATATCGCCCAAAAGTAAGAAAAGGGTACATTGCATAGTTATCAGAAGGGAGAATTTAAGTGCAACAAAGGTTGAACCAAAATACGGCTTAACTGATCAGCTGGCATAGTTGTCAACTCTTAACTCCATTTAGATGCTGTGAAATGAGCTTTATTATAAGTTCAGAGGAAATGTCCCCAAGCTAGTGGCACCTCTGAGAAGACCTATGGTAAGAATGAATGCTGAGGTCTAAAAAGATGTTATTGTTGCAAATGGATGGTTGTTTGATGAAAGTAGACATAAACTCAATTGCTAGAATTGCAAATAAGGTTTACACCAGAGGTAAGGGGTAGGGATGCACTGAAATTTCGGTGGCCAAAACATTTCTGCCGAAAACACCCCTTTCGGCCATTGGCCGAAATGAAAAAAAGCACAGATTACAGGTGCTGGAAAAAACCCCGCCCCTTGCCCCTCACTGCCGCCACTGGCCGCCGCTTGGTAGTTCAGCCTTACCTGAGAAACCATCTATCCTGGTGTCTGGGCATAGAGATGTATGAAATGTGTGAAGGAAATATGGCCGCCACATATCTCTATGCTGTTAGAGGACCGGAGCGATGTCCCTTCCGATTCTGGTTTTTTTTTTTTTTTTACGTTTAAAGCACTGACTAGATCAACGCTTTTTTTTTTTGATCCAATGTTTTACATTGCAGAGGAGAGATATGGGGTCTTATTGACCCCATATCTCTCCATAAAGAGGACCTGTCACTAATTATTTCTGCCACAAGGGATGCATGCATTTCTTGTGATAAGAATAAAAGTGATTACATTTTTTTTTAAAGGAACAGTGCAAAAAAACCCAAAAAACACATTAAATAAATTTACACATAGTGGTGAATGCATACGTAGACCATGCCCACATATGTAAATGGTATTCAAAACTACACATGTGAAGTATCGCTATGAACGTCGGAGCAAGAGCAATAATTCTTGCACTAAGACCTCCTTTGTAACTTTACACTGCTAACCTGTAGAAATTTTTAAAGTATCACCCATGGAGATTTTTAGGTACTGCTGTTTCACGCCATTCCACGAGTGTGCGCAATTTTAAAGCATAACATGTTCGGTATCTATTTACTCGCTGTAACATCCTCTTTCATATTTTACCAGAAAATTGGGGTATATATTGTTTTTTTTTAATCAAAGTGTATTTTTTTTTTTCCAAAGTCAAGTGCATTTTGAATTTTTGAATTTTTTCAGCACGAGAATTATAATTTTGGTGCACCACTAGTCAGGGGTTTTGCATCCTCCTAGAGCAGAAAGGAAAACTCCCCCTACAAGCTTTAACCAGTGCTATGCTGAGAACTGATAGACGGATTTGATAGAAAACCTTTACTTTCCCTTCAGAATCAACATTTTCTCTGGGACACTATACTACACAATACTCCCACAAATGCGGGCCATTGATTGGAAACAAGATTTGCTAATTTGCACACATAAAACGAAAAAGTATTTTTCCTAAAAAATTTGTTCAAGACCATGTTGCAAAAATGAATATACCCCAATAAAAGTCTTAGTTTTTAGACCAAAATCCTAATTAACAAGAATTCAACTACAGGTGGGTCTAATTATTCATTAAACAGGTGTCCAGCAGACAGTTAATTATAAAGGGGTGTTACTTAACAAAGAAAACCTCCTTCCCAATTCATGTTGTCAGCAATGGCACCACATGGAAGAGATATGTCACAAGGCCTGAGAAAGAGAAAATAATTTCTTTACACAAGAATGGTGGAGTCTACAAGAAGATCAGCAAAGCTTTACTTATCAGTCAGAATACTGTAGCAAAAGTAATGAGAAGGGTTGAAGAAAATCGCCATGAAAGTTCACTGCAGATATCTAAAGAGGTAGAAAGCCAAACTGTGGTGATTGTTTCCTGTGACACAATATGGTGTACACTGATAATATTAACTTATCCACTGCATTACCAAGGTTGATCAAAATATATCATCACAGTAGTAAATAAATAAAATAAAAAAATGTGATTGAATCCAATAGTGCTGGTTTTACAATATAGGTATCTCAATAAAAATAAATTAATTAATTCATAGAATTCACTGTGCAAATGTGAAAAAGCAAAAAATAACTATTTAGAGTATTTCTTTAAAACTAAATAAATTAATAAAATGAGATGTGCAAGTGGTGCATAAAACAAAAAATGAATGAAAAATAAAAACAAATGAAAAATTAAAAAAAATATAATATATATATATATGAGTTAATAAAGTTCAGCCACAAAATAGTGCATAAAAAAAAGGTTGTGCAAAAGAGTTTTTCAAAAAGTTCAGCAGTTAGAAGGTGCTGGTAATATACTCTCCTTTCAAGCTGCTTATGGTGGTGTGAATAGAGACCTACGGATTGTCTTCTGAGCCTGTACAAGCCCAAGGATTTTCCCCTCCTTGAAGCTCTCCTCACTCCAATGCTCAATGTGTCCTCATGTGACCCATAGGAGAAAAGAATAAAAGATATGGTGCCTTATCCTAGGTATATACAAATGCTCTTTAATGTGCTCTCATATTGCACTCACATGGTTTCAATAATATACACGCATGTATTGTAATATAAACCGCTGAATGCGGTAATGATCAGCCTCACAGGAGCGCTGGCACACTCTGTCTGTACTCGCCATAATGATGATCCAGTACGATCCGATACGTGGGGAGGGGCAGTGATGTCACCACCTAAAGTAAAATGTGTATGTTCACTTTGAATTTTACTGTTCCATCATGTTGCATAAAATAAAAGCCACACTGATGTGATATAATTTTTATCCAGCAGACTTTGTTTATTATATTTTGTGGTACATATACAGTATAGGGGGTGCACAAACTGATATTTCAAAATGTTTATGATCTATCTCTAGGCATGCACGATAACGTTACTGGCCAAAACCTCCACCTAACGGGTTTCCACACAACTGTTGTCATCTTTCCTTGATGATGACAGTTGTGTGGAAACGGTGCCTTCTGTTTCTGTCAATGCGAGTTACTGATTTCCACATGTAAGTGCATAAGCAAAATACATTTTATCCTGCTTTTATTGATTTGTATTATGAGGTTCTGCTCTTCCTCTTTTATATAAATACTTACCATTTGTGATACTGCCGTGGAGTGGAAAGGGAACCAGTTTGGCAGAGTCATAGAACAAATGTGATGTCAGGAGCTTCACAGATTAAAGGGATATCTCACGGTGTATGCCTGTGTGTCAACTGAGCTCATTTGTCTGAGGTTTAATCTTTCTGGCAAGAAGTGTGTGTATCCTGGTGGCGTGGATTTATTTTTTCTCAACACTGGTTCCTTTTGGGATTTGCATGGGATTATGATTATTTACAATAGATTTGAACTTCAATTTTAGAGACTTTGTTTTAGTTTGGTGGACTTGATTGGATTTTTTCCTCATCTATGTATATTTGCTTTTGCTTGATTATTATATTTAAAGGGATAGAGAAGGTTTTTTTTTTTTTAATACACAGTATCTAGTTGAAGATTTTTTTTTTCTCCATAACTGGCTAAATACACAGCTTGCATTAAATTAATTGTGATCTTGTCATGAAGGTCTTTGTTCAGGCATTTCCTGAAATCCTCAAATGTGATCCAGTTAGGGTTTATTTTATGAAACAAAAATGAAAACAACGTAATGTTGGGTTGAATTAAGTAAAATATTCATTTCTTCCAGATTTAAAACTTTTAATGCTAGTAGCTTTCAGTTGGTTGTAAGGGAGAATTTCTGAGTTGTTTTTCACACAGAGCAGAAAATTGAGCCACTTGATGTAGAGATATATCAGTGAGGCATGAGAAAGTGATCTTTCTATAGTTAAATAACTGTGTTAAATGTGGAGATATTGCAATTCTGTCCTTTCTGTGATCTCTACATATGTGGATTGGAACATTTTGATGAGAAAAATGGTGATGAGCTAAAATAAAAATGAGCGTTATGAATACAATGAGTGTAG